AGTCATCAGTTTTACAGGGGGAAAGGATCTAGGTTCAGTATGATGCTAAAAATAAATAAATAGATAAATAAATAAAGTCAGTGGTTTTAGGAGAGAAAAGACCGTAGGTAACTTTAATATCTAAAATTAAATGGAGGGGCTGGAGAGATGGCTCAGTGGTTAGAAACACTGGCTGCTCTTCCAGATGGTCAGGGTTTGGGTTCCCAGAACCCACATGGTGACTCACAACTGTCTGTAACTACAGTTCCAGAAAATCTGACACCCTCTTCTGACCTCCATGGGCACCACACACATGGTGCACAGACCTACATACAGGCAAAAGACTCATACATATAAAATATATTTTTTAAATTAAGGGCTAATAAGAGGAAGGTGGGTTGAGGCTATCACTTGGTAGTATACAACACCCACCTAGTGCATATGATACCCTAGGCTCAATCCCCAGTCACACACACACACACACACACACACACACACACGTATGCATTCATGCACACACACATACATGTACACATACATACACACAAATCATATCTTGAACTTTTCAATTAGACTTTAGTGGAAGGAGGCAAAATCCCCTCTCTTTATTCTTTCTCCTCACGTCACTTTGGTCCATGTCTGTGTGTTTCCTGCACTATGCTGAAATGAATAATTGCAGAATCAACAAAGCAAACATTTAGAAATGCCATCTTCAGTGGTCAACTTTGACTGGCAACCTGGTTACATTAAGAAACGCCTAGGGTATATCTGTGTGGGCTTCTCCAGAAGGGGTTAACTACGAGGAATGAAATCCACCCTGACTGTAGATACACCATCCTGGGGGCTTAGGTCCTGGACTGAACAAAAAAAGGAATAAGGAAAAAGCCAGCTGAGGCCTGGCCTGGTCCTCTTACTGCCTCCTGACCCGCCTAGATATGAACAAGCAGCCTCACACTGCCACAGCCACAGCCACAGCCACAGCCACAGCCACGGCCACGGCCACAGCCGCCCCACCTTCCTACCATGGTGGGCTGTATTACTTCCCACTATGAAACAAAATAAATCCACTTTTCAAAAAAGTAACTGACACATCGTACCATCTCTTTACCCATATTATCATGGCTGTGGCTTTCACAACCACTCCAGGACATACATCGTATTCCTTCCCCTACTTTGCCGATAAGGAAACCCAGGCACAGAAAAGTTGGGGAAGATGTTACCTGACACACAGCTTCATAACCATGAAGTCCAGGCGGAGCCCCAGCAGTGCATCTTCAGATTCTTGCTCTAGCCGCTGGCCACCTCCACCCCTGCCCCTCAGAGAAGTCGCCTTTCTTGAGATGATCCTGCTTGCATGAGGAGCAGCTGGCCCTCCCCGGGGACATGCTCAGCACCTCTGATCCCCACCCTTCAGATGCCAGCAGCTCCTCCCAGGTATTGTCACCGCTGGTTATAATCTTCTCTCCCTCAACCCTAATCAACCCGTGCTCTCCCCAAGCGTGGTAACAAGCTGCTTTATAACCATTCCAAGTGTCATGTAAGAGTGTCCCAGGCCACCCTCCAGGGAGGGCTGACTCTCCTGGGACCCAAACAGCCTATACCTTGTCTCCCTCAAAAAACCAGCCAAGAGTGGGACCCTCTGCACTGTTAACTAATTGGGAAAGCAGGAAGAAGGGAACCCTGTGAGGACCCCTGAAACCGCAGCTCCAAGGCCCAAGGAAGCCTTTAGAACCGAAGGCCTAAGCGCTGACAGGCTGGTTGGCCAACTTCCCATAGCTGTGATAAAATTCCAGAGAGGATCGGCTTGCAAAGAGGAAAGGGTTTATTAGTTCATGGCTCTAGTGGTTTTGTTCCGTGAGCACCCGGACCCTTACCTTAGAGCAGTGGTTCTCATCCTGTGTATCAGACACTTACATTATGATTCATAACAGTAGCAAAAATTAGAGTTATGAAGTAGCATTGAACTAACTTTATGGTTGGGGGGCCACCACAACATGAGGAACCGTATTAAAGGGTTGTGGCATTGGCAAGGTGGAGAACCACTGCCTTGGAGCCTATGCTAAGACAGAATGTCATGGTATCAGCAGGTGGCAGAAAACCTGCTCAACCTGGAACAGCTGGGAAGCAGGGGGCAGGTGGGGCTCCACACTCCCCTCCAGGGGCATGTCCCCAATGACCTGACTCCCTCCCATTAGGTTCCACCTCTTAGAGGTTCCACTACCTCCAAATAGCACCACGGATGGAGTCTGGGGAGAGTTCACGGGCCTGGGGAGAGTTCACGCGCCTGGGGAGAGTACTGAAGACTGGCACCCATAACAGAGGCCTCCAGCTCACCATTCTCCTCAACATAAGACAAAGCTGATACCCGAGAAAGCAAGAAGTGGTAAAACACAAGCTTCCCTCCCTGTGCACATCACGACATCCCAGGTGCTGCCAAGCCCAGCCCTTGCCTCCGAGGGTTGCTTAGCACTGTCACATTCTGGCTAGTGATGACCAGCTGACCATTTCTCTTAGGATCAGAGCTCCCTAAGCCCTATTTCCCAGAAGAGGCTGATTCTAAAGGTCAGAACAAGAGTCCAGGATCCCACAGCCATCAAAACCTCCCAAAGAGCAACTGGATCATCCCCAACAGTCAACACACATCGAGTAAGAAAACAGGCAGAATATTTGAGCCCAAATGAGGACACCCACAGTGGAGAAAATGTAGATTCTAACTGCCCGTAATAAATGCTTCCCAAGTAGCAGCTGAGGCGGGGGGTGGGGTGGGGGGGGGAGGCGGGGGGTGGGGTGGGGGGGTGGTCTGGGCTCCTATAGGCCAGTACAATGAACAAGGGGACGCAAAAGAAATGTCTGGCAACCATCACATTGGCTGACAGGAACGTCGCAGGTCTCTCATTGGTTGTTGGACCTCTCCATTACACACTCTAAGGAACATTCTAGTAAGAAAGGAGGGACTGGAGAGATGGCTCGGTGGTTAAGAGCACTTGTTATGCTTGCAAAACATCGGGCTTGGCTTCCCAGCACCCACGTGGTTCCCGATCATCCATTACTCAGTTCCAGGGGATCCCACGCCCTCTTCTGGGCCCCGCAGGCACTGCACGCATGTGATGAACATACATACATGCAGGCAAAAACACTCATACACATTAAATAAATAAATAAATCTAAAAAACCATTTCTTTAAGGAAGAGGACTTTTGTACCGGTTGTTTGTTATCCCTTCTGGCACCAAGGAGTCTGCCGTTCCTGCCAACCTGCGACACAATGGCCTGGGTAACAGTGACTGTGGATTCCTGCCGCATGCCTTCCCAGGCTAAGGACTTCCTGACCTCATTATTGTGATATCCTGGGTCCTTTCTTAGAACTCTAGTTGAAAATACAGCTCCATTTCTGACTGCTGTTTTATGGTGTCAACTTAAGCTCAGCATGAATGAGTCTGTGGCTTCGGAATTCTGTCTGGACGAGGCACGCAGCACAAGCGCTTGCCAAGGCCAAATGCGGCAAACAGATCCTGTTTCTTACAATGGTCTTGTTAATGTCACTCAGGCAGGCCTGGAACTTGCGATCCTCCAGCCTCAGCCTCCTACACCACCACACCCAGGCAGCAGGCTCCTCTGTAACAAACAGCACAGAACTCGAAGCAGCCCACCGACAATGACGAGGACCAGTAAAGAGGGCTGTATCGACTACACAAGCCACCACTACACCACGTGACATTCAAGAACAGGACAATTAATCCACGCCAGATAAATCGGAGATAGGCACTTTCTGAGGCGGTCTCACTGCCTAAGAAGCGGATGTGTACGCTATGGAATGCTGTGAACATGCATGTTCCGTCTACACAGGCATATTCCTAATGTAAGGATCAACAAGCCACGTACTCAAGATTCGTGTACTTAAAAGTCTATGTTTTTGTTGTCATTGGTTTCTAAACATAGTTTTGTTCATCCCACCCCATGACCAGGACAAGAGGCTTATTTTACTCGTGTGGGGAAAAAGAAAGTCATGAATAAAGCTAATCAGGAACTCAAGCTCCCAACAGCTTAGCCAGTTTTGTTCTGAAACTATAATATGCAAAAATTGGGCTTTGTAAATGTCGAATTAGCCTGTAATTATTTGCTTTGCAGAATTGCGCACCGTGGGGTTTCTCTTGACGGCAGGCTCCCATAGGTGCACTTTAAAAAGGAAGAACTCAGCTGCCAAGGGCGATTTAGTCACCAATGTTAACAAACTGCGGCAGAAGCTCAAAGATCTTTCTTTTCCGTGTGGGGGCGGGTGGGTGAGTGAAAGGAGGGAATCCAGGCGTAATCCCCCAGACTAATCAGAGCTCCTCCAAGCTGCAAGAGCCTGGCGTCTCCTGCTGCTGTGTGCTTTGAGTATGGCCCGCTGTGGGTAGAGGGAAAGCCCGTGGAGAAGGCTGAGATAAGACTGTGGGAAACCCAGCTGTCTCAGAAACACAATGTCTCAGCAGGGAACACTGGAGATGCCAGAGGAACACCATGTTCCCAGCTTCTGTGTACACTGGAGTTCTCAGAGAACTCTGCAGGCACAGATGCTGGGAGGGGCGGGAGGTGCTGGGCGGGGCCGGAGGTGCTGGGCGGAGCCGGAGGTGGTGGGCGGGGCCAGAGGTGCTGGGCGGGGCCTGAGGTGCTGGGAGGGGCCTGAGGTGCTGGAGTTTTTCTTCAAGACCTCTGATGAGGCTACCTGCACACCACATACAAGACAGGAAGTCCAGCTCGGCAAGAAGCCCACCTAATCCCACAGCCACACTCTAAATGCACATTACCATACCCACTGTACAGGTAAGGAAACTGAGGCTGAAAAAGGACTCAGGCCTGTCTGACTCCAGCTGTGGCTGGCAGAGAGCCAGGGATAAAGCAGAGTCAGAGGTTATGAAGCCCTTTTCCACTGTCCCCCACAAGACCCACCCTAGTGCTCCAAGGGTGACATTCTGCCAGAGGCCAGCCAGTGGTTCCGTGCCTCTAACTGTGTTCAGCTAGAACCCCGGCACTCTTCTTGGTGACAGTGAGGAGGGGAGCCTATAACCCTCCTTTTCCAGCCCCAGGCTGAAGCTCCAAGAGAACACAAGATAGTTACTGGTTAAGCAGAGGCAGACTCCACACCGACCCCCGTTTTTCATGCATGACCTTGGTCCATCGGTGTGCACCTGTCTTTTCCTACAGAATTGTGGAAAACTGCTGCTCCCCGCCTGGTAATCAGACAGTCCTGGAGACTTTTTAAACATCACACCTTCAGCCCATGCCCCACCTTTCTTCTCACAGTTTCTTCCACAAGGTGAATTCCTGCTGAGAAGTCCGTGGAAGGATTGAGCAGAACAGAGGTCAGCAGGACTTTGAAAGCCTGTGGTGATGGAAGGGGGCTAATGGGTCAAGGCCCAGATGGGTTGGAGAAATAACTTACTGTACTCTACAGAAAGGTAGGATAATTATGGTTGGCAGGCAATTAAGATATATTTCAAAAGAGCTGGGAGAGAGCCTGAATGCTTCCAACACAAAGAAGTGACATCTCAGGTGACAGATATGACAGTCACCCTAACCCGAGTAGCACATGCTGTACACATGTACTGAATGTCTCACTGAACCCCACATATAAGTGTCATTGTGCCTGGAGTTGGTAGGGTCAAAGCATGGACTGTGGGGGCCTGTCTTAGTCACGGTGACTATTGCTGTGATGGAACACCGTGACCAAAGCAACTTGGGGAGAAAAGGAGTTATTTCACTCACAATTCCATATAACAGTGTTCACCATCAACAGCAGTGGGGCCAGGGACTCAGGCAGGGCAGGAACCTGGAGGCAGGAGATGATGCAGAGGCCATGGAGGGGTGCTGCTTACTGGCTTGCTCCTCATGGCTTGCTCAGCCTGCTTTCTTATAGAACATAGGACTACCAGCCCAGGGATGGTACAACCCACAATGGGCTGGGCCCTCCCACATCAATTACCTACAGCTGGATCTTCTGGAGGCATTTTCTCGGCTGAGGATCCCTCCTCTCTGATGACTCTAGCTTGTGTCAAGTGGACATAAAACTGGCCAGCACAGGGTCCCAGCAACCTAGGCCCAGGCACTACACTGATTAAAGAGACAGTTACAGTTGGTGAAAGGCAGAGAAAGTGGATGCATTCAGGGCGACCACACTGGAAAGAGAAGCAAATAAAGAGTGCCCAGGGGCCGCACCCCCCCACCCCCCACCCCATCCTTGATGTCCTGACATAAGGTTTAGGTTTAAATAGAACGCATGGACTCTGCCTTCTTCAGCTGTTCTGGTCAAGGTGAGGTCCTGCCTCTCAAGCCTCATCACATCTCGGCTTTAGACTCTCCTGACGGGTGGCCCCACAAGTTACAACCTGTTAAAATGTCTTCCTGGGAAGCAGGGCTCTCCTCTGGCCAGCACGAGCGCTTCAGCCTTCTCTGTCCACTAGCATGGGATTCCTGGGGAGATTTTAGTCCCCCAGGTCCACTGTCTCAATGGCCTGACAGTCAAGAATACACATGTCTCTCTTTAGAATACTTTTTCTGCAGCCAGACAGTTACACCATTTCCACTTGTCAAATAAAAATGAAAAGCCATGACATCCGAGCCTGGGCTGCTGCTGAGGACCATGTCTGGGTCTGTGGTTCTACCCCAGCCAGGGATGTGTTAATATCTATAGCTGAAAGTTTTTCTGTATCCCGGCATGCCGGTGGTCGGGACAAATCTCTCCCACTTGCATCCCCCAAGTAAACACACAGGGGCTTATATTTATTAAAACTGCTCGGCCATTAGCTCTGGCTACTACTGACTAGCTCTTACACTTAAACTCAGCCCATTTCTGTTAATCTATATGTCGCCATGTGTTCCATGGCTTTACCTGTGTGCCATTACATGCTGCTTCCTGGACGGCGGGCTGGCATCTCCTGACTCAGCCTTCCTCTGCCCAGACCTCTCCTTGTCTGCTTATCCCACCTATACTTCCTGCCCGGCTACTGGCCAATCAGGGTTTTATTAAACCAGTGTACAAAAGCGTTATTCCACAGCAGATATCCATAGCCCATGTCGCCACCAAAGGCCACATGGATGCCCAGGTTCTAGGCTGGCACCTGTAGCCATGTTGAGAACTGAGGAACGTGCTGCAGCTGAGGCCATGCCGATCTGAGTTGTCTGTACTACCAACCACGGCCGTGGTGTCCTCTGGGCCCAAACTGCTGTCAAGGGCCATGTCTGGGTCCGTGGCCCCACAGCAGCCAAGG